TGCCGAGTCTCTGCACAGGACACCCCTCCAGGACCCTAACACGGGGGCCCGAACTCACCACCTGTGCTTGCTAGGGCTGGCCGAGTTGAGAGTCAGGGGAAGTGGATTGTTTCGCCCGCCATGCTGGGCCTGGTGAACGTTCCTCCCACAGCAGTGTCCACCTCTGGGGCCCTCCTTCCCCTCCCCCTTCAACCCTGATTCAGGCTTCCCCTCCCCTACATCCGTTGCACAGACACCAGCCACTTTAGGCTCTTTGCACATCCCTGATCGTGGTCTAGGGTCCGTTCCCACAGCCTCGATTGCGACATGTTGGCTTTCTGCTTAGTGATTTACAACCACAGTCTTCCTGCCCAGCCGCCATGGCCACCAGGTCCCCTCCCTTGACCAGAGTCAGTGTCCCGGAAGCTCCCTTCCTATTCACTCCCTGAGCTGGTTCGTCACACCTGTTGTGTGCATTTTGCCAGTTTAAGGCTCAGAGCAATCTTATCACCTTCTCTCCCAGTCCTCAGGGGAGGGGCACCTCACTGTCACCTCCAGGTACCACCAGCCATGATGATAATCTCAAGTTAACGACAGAAACACATTACGTCCCCTATCTTGCATTTATAAAGGCAAGGAAATAACATAATACAAGTTTAAGGATGTCCACCCAAAATGATACAAATAAGAAAAAGAAGCAGTGCTTAAAAATAAACCTCAACTTCGTGAAACCTGCTGCTGGGAAGCAGCTGGCAGGAAAACATTCATCACTGGGGGTCGTTTTTCCCTTCCAGATCGTGCCAAAGTGGTGAGGGGCCTGCCGGACGTGGCCACGATCATGGAAGATAAGGTACTGACTGTTCCCCAGCCCACAGCCGGCAGTCCCACCCTGGGTTCCCTCCTGTATCCATCAAAGAGCACGAAGCAATGCAGCACCATGGATTCCAGAGCCGAAGGGGCTGGATGCACCAGAGTCTGGCCGAGTGACCACACCTCATTGGTCACATGTAGTATAAAGGAAAGACACTGAGCCTGGTGTCAGGCCCGTGCGGGGGGTGACAGGCCTGTGCTCACCCCAGTTCTACCCCATCTCTCCAGGTGGCCCTGGGTGTCATGGACTTCTCTGTGTGAACTTCAGTTTCCGCAGGAGTTTGACTAGATGATACCTAAAAAGCCCTTTCAGCACTGAAGTTTTACAAGTCTAATGTTCTAGAAAATGATGGCTACTGTTTTCATGTTGCTTACTTTGTGCCAGGCACTATTCCATTATTTAACCATCAAGGCAACCACATGAAATAGTGTGTTATTACCAGTCATACTTTATAGCTGAGGAAACTGAGGCCCAGAAAGGTTAAGGGACTTACCTAAGGTCATACAGCTTAAAGGAGCTGAGCTGAGATTCACAGCCTGGCAGCCCAGCTCCAGACTCTGAGTGTTTGGCCATTACACTAGAGTGCCTCTGCAGTGAGAATTGCTCTGTTAAGAATTTTCAAACTCAATTCTTAAATCTTTATGTTAAAGCAATCTAGCCGGGCTTCCCTGGTGGCACAGTGGTTGAGAGTCCACCTGCCGATGCAGGGGACACGGGTTCATGCCCCGGTCTGGGAAGATCCCACATGCTGCGGAACGGCTGGGCCCGTGAGCCATGGCCGCTGAGCCTGCGCGTCCGGAGCCTGTGCTCCGCAACGGGAGAGGCCGCAACAGTGAGAGGCCCGCGTACCGCCAAAAAAAAGCAATCTAGCCTTATTTGCATGGTAAAATCATAATGAAATATACAATAAAAAGCAATAAAGCAAAGTCCAGGCCATTCTGGGGCAGGTAATTGCTAAAGTAATAACGTTCCGACAGTCTAACTAGTTAACTGTTCCCGTAGAAATGTTGAGAATGGAGGATGTGGGGTTAGAGTAAAACATCTCCCTTTACTGTTATTAGTTTATGGGTCACAATAAAACACACATAATGAACTTACCACAAGGAGCAGCTTGTACTGGCAGCTCCCTGGGAGTGTGAAGGTTTATAACCTTCACACTTTACCAAGGGCTTTCCAAGCGGGTGGACTGAGTGTTCCCTTCCTGTCCTTTCAAACAGACCCTGTGCCTGACCTGCGTCATCTCAGGAGATCCTATCCCTGAAATCTCTTGGCTGAAGAATGACCAGCCCGTCACCTTCCTTGACCGCTACCACATGGAGGTGAAGGGGTCGGAGGTCACCATCACCATCGAGAGGGTCAACAGTGAGGACAGCGGGCGCTACGGTGTCTTCGTCAAGAACAAGTATGGCTCCGAGACGGGTCAGGTCACCATCAGCGTGTTCAAGCACAGGGAGGAGGACAAGGTGCTGAAGATGTGACGGTCAGATTCAGGCACAGCCTGAGGTCTGGTCTGCGTGGACTACAAGGGTCAACCAGTGGCTCACAGCCTGGCACAAGCCACGGAGGCGGGGCAGGGGGGATTGGACATTGCGGAACCCGGGACATGGGAGGGGAGTAGCTACACCAAAGTGGAGAAGCATAGACCTTGCTGGGGCTCTGGGAGGCCTCCAGGCCTCAGCACTGGACTTGGAATGGGAGACCTACGTGCAAAACTGTTTCAACTCTAAACTCTCCGTGAGACTTGCCTTTCTCATCTATCAAATGGGAATTCCTACTCCTAGGGATTGTTTATGAAAACCCTTGAAACCATACACCAGTGATACTCAACAGGAGGCAGTTTTGTCCCCCAGGCGACATTTGGCAGTGTCCAAATTTTGGGTTGTCACAACTGGCGTCTACTAGGTAGCAGCCAAGGACGCTGCTAAACACAACAGCTCCTCACCGCATAGAATTCAACCCTAAATGACAATAATGCCGAGGTTGATGTACCCCACCCCCCCCATAAACGGATTTATCACAATGCCCCCTTTTGGATACTGTATTTTCAATTCACTTAAGTTCAACCAACATTCATTTGAAGTCTAGCCTGTGCCAGGCTGCGGATGGCATTGGGAGCACAAACGTACATAATATGCAGGCCCCGCCCCCAAGGACACCTCAGCCCAGGAGAAGAGTCAGACCTGGGTGCAAATGACTCCAGGACAAGTCAGATGATCAGGATTATAAAACGGGGCCACATAAAGTTCCACTGGTGGTCAGAGGAGGGAGAGAGGTGTTCATCCCAACTAGGGAAGGTGAGTTTTAAAACACCTTCATGAAACTAGCAGAATTGGTTGTTGGGCCCTGAAAAAATAAGTTGGATTTGGTGATGGTCATGGGAAGAGATTTCAGGAGCAGGGGATGGTGACAGAAAAGATGAGGCGTAGGGGTGATGCTGCCTGGGTGGCCTTGGATGCCAGGCTGGAGAGTTGGACGACCTTCAGTACTTCCAGCTCAGGGCCTCTGCCTGGCAGGACAGATACTGGTTGGCCTTGCTTGCTGGACCTCTGTACGGAGCTGGGCATTTCACCACCCTCCAGTTTCCTTCTTTTTTAAAATCAGATTGGGAGGGGTGGGGTTTATAAAGTTAGAGGTGTTTGTTGTAAAATTTTGGAAAACCTTGAAAATGTTGAAGGAGAAAATAAAACTCATCTGTACTCCCAACATCAAAACATAACACCCACCTCTGATTTCTGAAATGATTTCTGAATTTAAAGGTAGAATGAATCACTCCTACATTTACCACCTACACATGCATCAAGGCATGATGGGTAACTTATACCCCCAGCAGCTACAAGTGCAGTCAGGCCAGATGTTCAGTGAGGCCGGGCGAGGGGGCCAGGTGTCCTGCCGTGCCCTGGCTGGGAAGGGGTATGGAGGATTATGCAAGTCTTGGAGGCAAACACACCCAGGCTTGAAGCCAAGCACTCACTGTGTGATCTTGGGCATTTGTTTTTTCCTTTGTCTGGGCCTCAATTTCCCATCTATAAAGCAAGAAGTCTGAAAGGTCATTTTTGAGGGTCCTTTCAGCTGACCCTACCTCCTACCTAGGAAGACTGTGGACAGGGCAGGTCCAGGGTGGGGCAGTGGGGATGGAGGTCCCTGAGACCTTTCGCTGTTCTCTGTCTTAGCTCCTCCCACTTAATCCCAAGTAAACCCCAAGTGCCACTCAGGTGGGAGAAAGGACCTTGCTAAAGGATATTGTGATAAAATTAAAAAATTTTATATCTGGTCTTTGTTCTTGGTTTGGGACACACAGCTCCTAAAACCCTTCGGATCTCCAGGGTGAAAAGAGCGTCTTTTGTATACTAATAAGATGGGTGGTGACTGGGGGCCCTTAGATAGCTTCAAAATGGGAGCTGATCACCAGAAAGACAAAGGCAGGACTAGAGGGTTAGAACTTTCTGCCGCCAGCCACCTCCACTTCCCTCTGGAGAGGGGAGAGAGACTAGAGGTTGAGTTAATCACCAATGGCCAATGATTTAAAGAATCATGCCTAAGTACTGAAAGTTCCACTAAATATTGCTAAGCGACAGGATTCCTAGGGCTTCTGGGTTTGTGGACACATCAAGGTGCTGGGAGCATGGTACACTTAGGGCGTGGGAGCTCCCTCCACACTCCCTGACTCCTTGCCCTGTGGACCTATTCATCTGACTGTCCATTTGTATCCTTCATAATAAACCAGAAACTGTAAGTAAAATGTTTCCCTGAGTTTTGTGAGCCATTCCAGCAAATTATCGACTGAGGAGGGAGTCACGGGAACCCTCGACTTATTGCCGGTTGGTCAGAAGTACAGGTGACAGCCTTGTGGAGTCTGACTCTACCTCTGGATGGTTAGTGTCAAAATTGAATTGAAGGACTTCCCTGGTGGCGCAGTGGTTGAGAGTCCGCCTGCCGTTGCAGGGGACGCGGGTTCGTGCCCCGGTCCGGGAAGATCCCACATGCTGTGAAGTGGCTGGGCCCGTGAGCCATGGCCGCTGAGCCTGCGCGTCCGGAGCCTGTGCTGCGCAGCGGGAGAGGCCACAACAGTGAGAGGCCCGCGTACCGCAAAAAAAAAAAAAAAAAAATTGAATTGAATTGTAGGACACCCAGTTGGTATCTGGATATTTGGAGAACTGGTGGTTGGTGTTAAAATAACCCACGCATTTGGTGTCCGAAGTGTTGTGAGCCAAACCAGCTCAGAGTTGTGAATCAACCACCTCCCCAGGGGTCTTTCCCATCTTCATCTATTCTATATTTCCTGAGCCCAGGGTAGGTAGCGGGGACACACCGTCATCCAACAAAGCCAGACTCCACAGCTTCACGTCTTTCACACTCTGCAGCCTGAACCACTGGCCTTGACTTTATTCTCCTCTCCTTAGCCTGTTCCCAGTGGCCTCCACTCCTGCCCCTGGCCTGGGCCACTTCCAGCTTCGCAATTTCTGAACCCCTCTGATTCTTCCATATTTACAATCCCCACTTGCTCCTTGTGTTATTCTTTACTGGCTCATCCTGGGAAGCATCTCAGTTGGTCCAGCCTGATCCCTGGTACCCTGCATGGGACTCAGAAAGTCAGAAACTTTGTCTCTTATCTGGTGAAACCCATCAGCGAACACATGGTCCTGGCATTCTCCAGGAACCCTCCGTGGATCTCCTGGCACGCTGGACTTCCAGGGAGCCAGGCAGGGCGTGCAGGCTGAAGGAAGGCCAGCCATCCAGTGTGTTGCCCCTTTATCATACCAGCGGCCCCTCCCCACACCCGTTCTGCCACCTTTCACATACCAACCCCAGGGCCATCCTTGGCCTAAAGAATTGAGAGCCATAAACAGGAAAAGCATGAGGAATAAGAACCCTGATGGGAAACGCCTGGCCTGTGTAATAATTAACCTCTACCCACTTGGCCTCTGCCACTTCTCATCAGATGCTTTCAATACCTCAAAACTTCCAAATCACTTCCAGCAGCTCAGGGTGACATTTTCATGCCAAAAATAGTTTCAGAAGCATCACTTCCCAGATGTCTCTAGCTAGAGGAAGCCAGATAGTTTATTTTCAGCATTTGAGAAAAGTTTCAATTCTGAGGCGGGAGGAGTTTCAGCCAAGAAGTGCCCTGGGTTGAGAGCAAAACAGATTGCACAGCCCGTGAGGAATGTGCCCCTCCTCTCCTGGGCCTCCCAGAAACCCTTGTGCCCCTGGGCTGACTTTTATATCACCGCTTCCTGTGCTATAGCAGATCTAAAGAAAGAGAAACGCGGGGCCACACAAAAGCCTTTTCATTCCAATTATGGTGAAATGAGACTTTGGGTTTGCTTGAAAATACTCCAGTTTAAAAAAAGGAAAAAAAAAAACAGTAAGAGGAAGAGAAATAAATGAAATAAAGAGAAATAAATGAAAAAGTTAGCAAAACATTGATGATTCTTGAAGCTGGTGATGGGTATATGGGTACCATGCTCTCTACTTTTGTATATGTTTGGAATTTTTTTCATAATAAAAATATTTAAAGACTCCATTGCCAAGGGAGACAAACCCTTGGCAGTCTTTTCATCCGGAGTCATATGAGTTACTTATCCAGCAATTAGTCAAGGACATTAGTTACAGGCGAGTGAGCACAGGGTTCCTCTCTGGCAGGCAATGTATACAGCCTGCTATTTTTCAATCACACTAATTAAAATTAATGGTAACAGAGATGTTCTACAAGAAATAATTATCAAGTCATGGCTGTAGTTTAAAAAAAAACATTTTACATCCAATTGATTCGTTGACTGCATTCATTCAGCACAAGTTTGCTGAGCTTACTATGTGGCAGGAATATACAGATTTAAAGCTTGCTGCTATAATCTGAGATCCAGCTTTGCTTTACTTGATGTGTGTGCCTTAATTAAGTGATTTAAAGTTTCTGTGTCTCGTCTGTAAAGGAGGGCTGCTGTGAGAATTAAATGAGGGGATGCTTGCCGAGTAACTAGCGTGGTGCCTGAGAGGATTGAAACAAATGACAGATTTCCCCACCCACCCATTCCCTGTAGTCTCAGTTGCTGGGGAAGATAGATGGACTAATCCAGCTCCCACAGAATTCAACAGTTCCTTCTGCACTTTTTTGACTGATGACAGTACAGACACTTCCAGAGACAGGAGTCCACAACCTCACAAGGGATTTTTAAAGTAGCATCTGTTGTATTCTTCCAATGATAGAAATGATAAATGGCTGCTGTAGAAAAATTGGACGAGACAGAAGAGAACCAAGAAGAAAAGTAAAAATATCCATAAGCTGAACAGACTTGTGGTTGCCAGGGACGGGAGGGAAGGATTGGGAGTTTGGGATTAGCAGACAGAAACTATTATATATAGGATGGATAAACAAGGTCCTGCTGTATAGCAGAGGGAACTATATTCAATATCCTGTGATAAACCATAATGGAAAAGAATGTGAAAAATAATATATACATGTATAACTGAATCACTTTTC